GGTTGCACTCGTCACCCTGTATGAAACCGGGTACAGACTTTTCATCATCTTCCATGTCTGTGGGGTTGCACTCATCACCATGTAGGAGGCTGGGTACAGACTTTTCATCATCTTCCATGGGAGATTGACAGTTTGTTGCTCCAATATCTATCTCATCCTGAAGCACATGTTCAAGGTTGTGATTGCCTTTGTCATCCTGAACACCCCATCACAAACAGCCCAAAAAATATCTCACAACAATGGAGACAGGTTCATTAAGAAACGGATGGCTATGACGTCCGCTAAAACAGAAAAGAAAAAAAAAAGGAGGGGGGGGAGGAGATAAAGGCAGAATCACAAACCTCTATCAGAGACTTTAACCTCCTTTTCATGTCCTTCTCCAAAGACTTTGTCATTTGCCATCTGTGTAAATGCGTTTCTATCCAGTTTGCATAAGCTGCCGGGATATCTTTAATTGCCAATTGCAACCTGTATAAACAACACTATACTATGAGGAGGAAGACAATCAAATATAGAGTAAGATATATATTTCATTAGACACTAACCAGTGCTGATGCAACTTCTTCTGTTCTTCTTCCACAAAGACTTCATATGGTTGTACAACAAAGTTATCAAGGTTACCTAAAACCCGCTCAAGAGACATGGACTGAATGCTTTTGCCAGACTGCTTCAGGTTCTTAACAATTTCATACTGCTTCTTGCTAATCTGAAATAGTTAAAAGTACACATTCAGCAAGAGCCTCATTACAATTGGAATGTTATATATCATGACCCAGAGCAACAGGTATACAGAAAAAAGATGGCTGTGTGTGTGGGGAGAGACAGAGAGAGAAAGGAGTGTCTTGTCTATGTGTTGGTTTACTGGGCTCGAAAAATAAAACAAAGTATGGATGTTAATATCTGCTAGTTGCCAGCAGTTATGTAGGAAAAAAGTTAAAACCCATTCAAATAAACAACTTAGAGGCAATGAGTTCCAGACATAATTGTGTTCAAAACTTAACAACGTTTTTTCTACTTGAATTATTTGTCCTACTTAACAGGGAAACTGGGATGATTCTGTGTCTCTGCTCAGAAGCCATTAAGGTATGTGTCTGGCCATTTAAGTTTAACACACGAGCACTGATCCTAAAACTCAAGCCTGAGAGGTGACTGTTTAGGTTACGCAGACTTACATAATCCATCCATAATTTTATTTCGTTTCAGAATTACCAAATGAACACCAACCTTAACATACGACATGTATTTAGCACCATCGCTACTGTGGATATTGCGCTTGTGTAGATTGTCTCCTTTTTTGGATCTTGCTCCTGCATTAAGTGCTCCATCTGGTGTAACCCACAAATTTCTACCTTTGTCCTTTAGGAAGCCTTTCTCACGGATCCTGACACAATAATAACTTATAGATCTCATGCACGTCCAAAGTAGATTGATATATAAATGTGGCAAAAATTATCAAACGTCAACTGAACATACAGTAAGTAGCCATAGCCAAGTACATTTATAATTTAAGAAAACTAAAATGAACCTGGAGCACATAGGTGCTCTGGTAGGACTAAATGTGGATAGCTGAATTACCTGTTCTGAAATTCTCCTCCCTTGTTCACTGAGGAAATCTGGTTATCACTACTGCATGCTTTCTCCCAAGAACAAGATTCAGATGTAACCATGGCATTTTCCTCAAGATCATGCAATCTGGATTCATTTGCATGTGAAAAAATTGGTTTCTCAACATCAATTCTTAACCTGCATAAAGTATAACCCCCATGAGAATAGCACCCAAAGTCTCCAAGCAGTCTGTCAAATGACTAAATGAAAGGAAAAACACAATTTGAAGAAGAATTCCTCCTCCTTATAAATTGGTACTTGGTTGAGCATCAAAGGGAAGGTTTGGCATTCATTAAGCTCATAATTATGAGATGAAAAAAAAGAAGAAAATACAGTGAGCATCAACCTCCACATATTCTGCACAATTTCCTTTTCAGGATCCTTACAGCTTGCGCATCTCTCCTTCAACTTCTGTAAATATGCAATCATACTGCCAAAAAAACCATAAAAAGGATTGTGACAGTATGTTTTAGCACAAGAGAGCCTTTCGAAAACAGTATTAAATGTATTACAGAAAAAAGTGGAAAAGCGTAACGTACTCATTATGGTACATCTGCAACTCATTGTAGAATGTTTTCTTATCAGTTATTAGATATTGTTCCCTACGAAGTATGGCATCAGGATGGAAATCACCTGAGCAAAGTGCAGCACCCCTGAAAGCATATATCTCAATTAAAATCATTGGTACACTATGGTCTTAAATTATTATTAATAAAAGAAGCTACTATTTAAAACTCACAAAGCTACAATAACTTCTTTCTTTTCTTTCATGTTAGAAATTAGAATCATCTAAAAGTGATACCTAGTACATGCACAACATACAATGTGTGAAAAAAAAAAATTTAACAGAAAACAACAGAAAAGTTTCTTGTTTTAAATTTTCTGATCAAACAAATGGAACAGTAAAAAATTGATGTAACAAACTTTTCCCAACCACTTGAAACCCATTTTCTTACAAGAAACATGAACTAATTTAAATTTTGATTAGTCTACAAAAAGCAATATTCAGCAGTGCCGCATTTATTTACTCTTAAAAATATAAAACAAACTAAATTAATGGAAAAGAGGAGGAAAGGGACTGCATCAATACAAGTATAACATAAAAATACGTACCATTTAAGTAAAGGGTTTCCAAAGTCAAAGCAATCCCCAGCAAGCAATGCTTGCACAACTTCCTCTGCCTCTTGTCCGCTAGGAAGAAGCTCCATAAGATGATTCTTCTCATTCTCAGACAGATGAGTATTCCAAACCTGCATCATTGTTTAAACAATAGCATATTAGTTGCACTAATACAACATAAAGTAGATACATAATTGTGGCTAACCATAAATTAAAAGCTACCTCATATGAAAGCACATCTTCCAAATTTTCCAAATCATAGATTCCCTCAGGAACAGCAAAAACATCTGCCAATGTATTAACACTGTTGAAAGCAAATCAAAAAAAGGCTTCAAATTTCTCCTACTTATGCCAATTTGATCCCTTTTGGCGACTACCATGTTCTGATTCCCATCCCACTCAAGAGAAATATGAGAGTTTACGTCTGAATCATCCTGAAGCAATCCAATATTTTTCTTTTTTGCTTTATGTTGCTCCCTAGAATTGCAACCCTTTCTCCACTGATCAGCCGCCATTAGCACAAGATGTCAAACAAAGCTCCGTCAAAGCATTATACCGTCATACATTATTACCTTTAACACATGCCGTCGTTTTTAATTGAACCTGAGATCAAATATCAAACATTTACAAGTACATTATAATCCATAGCTACAAAATGCCTCATAAATCAACTCAAACTGTAACCCGAAACACGTGGTGAACAAAATCAATGCAGCTAACTGGACTGGAGTGAGTCCATCTATCAGTTTGAACCGAGTACTTGCTTTGTAAATTGTAAGGCACTTTAAAGGAGTAAGCTACTATAAAGATAGAGTCAACGTCCAACGTCAATTTATTTATGGAGAATTCAATGGCATTACTTGAACAATTTAATCCCTCAAATGCGAATCAAAACACCCCTGAATTGTGCCAAATTAAAACAAACAAACAATTATATTAAAAAGATTAAAGATTGCACGCATTTGAAATAAAGAAAACTGAAATACCATAAAAAGATTAAAAATTGAACGCTACAACAGCAACTTATAGATGGAAGACGCAATCCCAGATACCCATACATACAAATTCGCTGACGATTGGAAGCCCACTCAGGAATCAAATTGACAATGAAAACCAACCGGATATGAAAAATTAAAGAAAAAAAAGAGGATAAAACATACAAGAAACGCATTCAAATACCTCATGCAGAAATTGAAAACCGGAACCCAAGACAACGAAATGCGTAATTTGACAGGAAAAAGAAAAGAAAAAGACAATACCTGAAACATCTGGTGATTGTTTAAGGCCTCGAACAGAAAGCCAATTAAATGCGGAGAACTGCGGTGAAAACCCAGAAAAAAGATTGGGAATTTGCCCTGAACAAAAACCCAATTAAAATGCGGAGAGAGAGACAGAGAAAGAGAGAGAGAGAGAGAGTGTTGGAGGGGGGGGGGAGCGTTTCGTATTATCGGATTGGGTTGAGGAGTTGGGAGAGAGACGTACGCCCACACCACACAGCATAAGAGAGCGTGAGAGAGAGAGACAGATGAGACGAGAGAGTGTGTGTGGCTTCGGCAAAACCGTTAATTTAACATTGAACGGTTCATTGGCGCGCAGGGGCGCGGCGCAGCGCGGCTCAAGTCTCAGCTTCTGCGCTTGCTCGGAGGCTGCGTCGATCCCGGATTCCTGATTCCTGATTGCAGCAGCAAGGTATGCGGTTAAGATAGAGTTTGAGAGAGTTCAAGTGTCTTTCGAAAACGTTTTTTATTCTTTTTATTCTTTTATTTTGTAGGATAAAATACTCCTCTAACGAACTTAAACTTTTAATTTGAAGGTTACACGGTTCAATTTGAGTTTGGGTCAAACCACTGTTATAGAAGGATGTAAATACACAATTAGCAAAAAAATAAAATAAAATGAGTCGAATCAGTAACAAATAAGAAGGCAAGAATTTGTGCTTTGTGTAAACTGTTGGGTTAGTAATGAAATTAATCTTTAAAAAAAAAAAATACAAATTTGTGCTTTGTGCATGGCTTGGCTGCTGACATGACATTGATAGCGAGCCGTCCGAGTTGCCGTTAAAAACAAACTGGTAAGTTGACGGCAGTGTTTTAGGGGATTGGAGGTTTCTGGAGCCCGTGGACTTCCGGCCCCCGAGTAAACGGTTTATCCTTTTCTTATTCTTCCGCTTCCGGTATTCTCTCCCTCCATGGATAGTAATACGCCTTTACCATTTATGGTTTTTATATGTTTATTTATTTATTTATGAAGAAAATGGAGCCAAAAAAAAAAAAGCAATATACAAAAGTTGTCTCCCCTTTTAATTTCCTTCCCATTTTTGGTTAGAAAGGCACCGAAAATATTTTTTTATTAAAAGTAGTAACCTTGATTTTTCATTTTAGTTGGACATTGAATGATGATATAATCGACGTAATTTAGAGGCCGGGCCTTGTTCGTAAAGCCCATATCCAAATTTCCCCGCCCTTGTTGGCCAGGGGAGGGGAGAGAAGAGTTCCAGAAAAGGGAAGTAAGGTAAGCGGATTAGTTGGCATTAATGGAATTCCAAAATAAAATAAAAAAGATGACAAAATTTTCAAGACAATTCATCATCATCTCTGCTTTGTGTGATTGTGTAATTTCCCCGCCTTTTTTGCACACTCTCTCCCTCCATCTCTCTCATTGTTGTTCTTCTTGTTATTGCTGCTGCTGCTGCTGTTGCTCCCTCTGATCAGATCTCTGGGGGCTTAGTTGTTTTATATTGAAAGACTATTACCTACTGTTTGGTTGTCGAGAAAACTAACAAAGTGACTGGAAAAATTAACTACTTTTAGTTTATCCAATAAACATTCAACTTAATTTTTGAAGGTTTTCGACTGACATTGAATGGTAATGCTGGATTTTGAGCTCCTCCGGATGATGAAGAAGATGAATCTTTCCTAGCCTCAAGCTTTGAGGTATTACATGCTGCGGCAGGACAGCCAATCACCAATCAATATCTACAACCTCAAGCTCCAGCCATTGATCTGTTGCAGTAGCATCTTCGTCCCAGACAGATTCTCACGCTGTACCATCACATATCATCAAGACAAGTGCTTGGCGTTTCTTTTATTTGTTTTAACTAACTAATTAGTTGATGGTTATTTAATTTACCTAGTCTCCTACAGACAAGCAACAAGGAACACCCTTGCTAAGAGTAAGAGGCTAAGAGCCTAGAGGAGCAGGAAAGATGCTTGAGAAACGAATTCTATTTTTTCTCCCAGATCAACCTATAAAAAGACTACTCCAGCTCATCGCTATGCCTCTCCTCATCGCTGGGCTCCTGTTTGTCACATTGTTCCTCCCCATCACTCTGCTCCTCCTCATCGGAATATTGCTCCTCCTCCTGCTGGCTAGAATAGATATCCTGGATTTGTATTCGAGTGTAATACACCAATTAAGAGGGAGTAGTGCGCCACAAATTGTAATGTTGAATTGCATGAGATGAGCAAATTGTAATCTATCTTGCCGTTTTCAACCAAATTCTCCAGCTTTGAATTGAATTGTTTGATCAAGTAGACCACATTCGAATGAATCATGTGAAAAACAGATGCTTTTACATAACAAAAGAAATGGTCTGAATACAGGAAACCAAGCTTCTTGAAGCTCTTCGTCAATCTTCAATGGCCATGGCCATGCTGTAATTATTAGGCTGGGATTGGGAAGGAAGAGAGTAAGGAGGGCGGGGAAACAGCAGCTTCAGACGGAAAGCATCCACGCCGTTCAAGTAGTACCGGAATAGCCTCTTTGCCCGTATAAATCCAAGACGCCCGTACAGCGCCAGCGCTCCTTTATTTGTCACTTCCGCCTCCAACGTTACCTGAATCCAATCCAATCCAATCAATCGATCAATCAAATCATTCGTGACAACGGTGGCGACGCTAGGGCCCCAAAAGCAGATTGATTTTATTTACGAAATTAGAGGGATACCTCTTCGCAGCCAGATTCCCTCATGACTTGGATAGATCTGGTAACTAGTTGGGTGGCGATGCCTTTGCCTCTGTAGGGTTTGATGACGACGAGCATAGCGATGTACCCTCTGTAGGTGTTGCGGTGCTCCCCCATCTTGCACACCACCGTCCCCACGCACCTGCCTCCGTGGAACGCCATGAAACAGAGCTGCGGCCACAGATACACGAAGTACCGATAGGTGAAGATGGAGTACGGCTCACTCAGTTCTTGGTCCACCAGGCCCATAATTAGAGGCAGGTGCTCTTCTCCTCCATAGCTCAAGTACTCTATCTCCAACGCCGCCGACGACGACAAATTTACCTTCTCAATCTCACCCCCTCGTCCTCCGCCGCCGCAGCTTTCTTCTTCTTCTTCTTCTATCTTACTGATTCCTTCCAGTTCCATATTTTTTGGTCAAAATTCCAATTCCATCACTCTCTCTTTCCTCCCTGTTTCGTTTGTGTTTATGTGCGAGTGGACTCGACGATTTTCAGACGACGCAGATGACAATGCAATTGGATTGGATTGGACTGGACTGGGCCACACCTTTTATCCATTACGAAAACCCAATTTAAATGTTTATATCTCTCCATGACTCGGCCCAACACAATCATTAGCTTTGTGTGACCGACTCCATTTTTCACGTTTTACACTTTTACTAGGATCATTTAGTCAACAATCAATTTCCAACGGTGATTGAGGACAAAACTTCAAAAAAAAAAAATTCACCTAGGCCACTTAGTACTACGATCTGGTAATATTCTCTTATTTGTAAGTGAGAAGTCTTAAATTCGATCATCACAAAAAAAGAATTTGAACCACATTATTACTAGTCTATTGTGAGATTAAGTCCACTCCCCTTAGTATATATAATATAGTTTGTTCAAATAAAAAATATATATACAATCGTTTGTGATAGCTTAAGTTCACACGCAAGAGTAATGTACTTAATAGCTCGTTTATGTTTATATGTTTATATATGAATATGCTCTTATATATTTAGATTGAAAACGTGATTTGCTACAACGCTTGTATTTTTTTTTTTCCAAAGCGTAGTTTGGTACTTAATAACGTAGTGTAATAAAAAAAAGGCAAATTATGATTTTAGTTTTGGGAAGGTTCCCCCTTGTTGTCATAGGCTTTAATTTCATGATTTAAACTTTACAAATTAAAACTTGTTGAAATTTAAGAATAATGACTTAAATTTGTTAATTTTTTAACAAAAATAGAAGTCAGCACGCTTTGAGCATATGCGATGTGTTTTAGACTAGTTAAATGTCTAATTTACTTTTACATTTGTCACTCGTGCTTGCTAATTTGTGTGATGACATTGACTAAATGAAGTTATTTGTCCTTTTACATAGGTTAAATCACAAAACTAAAATTTAGCAAAATAGAAAAGTGAATCGATGGGATATGACGTGCCAAAATCAGGGCCGCCCGCTAAATATATCGACGACACGGTCATTTCCATATTGGGTTTGTTCCAAAATTCCAATTTCCCATCGCGAGAGAAAATTGAGTTTGCCCGTTTTATCCTATCCCTCTCTCTCTCTCTCTCTCTCTCTCTCTCTCTCTCCACAGGCAGCATTTGTTTAGCGGCGAAGCCCAAAGACCATTTCGCAGCGCAACAGTAACAATAATTACAAAAAGAAGAAAAATAAAAAGGGAAAAAAATGTTGAGGGTTGCGGCGAGGAGGCTCTCTTCTGTGTCCGCGTCGCCATGGAGGTCCAACCAGGCCGCCACCGCCTCCTCCTTTATCCTGTCCCGAAATCTCATCGACGGCCGTGACTTCTCCGATGGGCTCAGATCCGCCTATTTCATCCCTGACTTGTATCTTCCGTCCAGAGGTTAGGGTTCCCCTCATTTCTCTTCCTCTTTCGTGGCTACTGCTTATTTAGGGTATTTTCCCCAAATTATTCGGCAGGAATCTGTTATTTAGGGTATTTCATCAGAATTTAATCGCTATTTTTTTGGGAATTGTTTGATACTATGCATTTTGGGGATGTGCAATTAGTTTAGTCTTATATTTAGCTGCCATTGATGCTGAATTTAATTCGCTACAATAATAATTCTGTATATATCTGTTAAAATTACTTATAGAAGAAGAAAAGAAAAGACCAAGGAAAAAGGTCATGAAGCATCAAGTTTCAGTCTGAATGTTATTGGCTATTCGACGTCTTTAATAGCTGTTCCAAAGTTCACAGCTTTTAGTAATTATTCAAGTGTTGGGTCAATCAATGGCTTTTATTCTTATATTTCTCTTGCTCTAATTGATCCATTTCTTCAGGTTTTGCGTCTGGTTCACTGACCCCTTCGGGGGACAACAATCTAGTTCCAGACGTTCCGCCAACTGTGGCAGCTGTCAAGAATCCTAGTTCAAAGATAGTTTATGACGAGTACAACCATGAGCGTTACCCTCCAGGTGACCCCAGCAAGCGTGCATTTGCCTACTTTGTCCTCACAGGTGGTAGGTTTGTCTATGCTTCTCTGATTCGTCTGCTTATCCTTAAGTTTGTGCTAAGCATGTCAGCCAGTAAGGATGTTCTTGCCATGGCCTCGCTCGAGGTTGATCTCTCCAGCATTGAGCCAGGTTCAACGGTGACTGTTAAGTGGCGTGGAAAGCCAGTCTTCATCAGACGCCGAACTGATGATGATATCAAGCTGGCAAATAGTGTAGATATTAATTCTCTCCGTGATCCGCAGCAAGATGCTGAGAGGGTTAAAAACCCTGAATGGCTCATTGTTGTGGGAGTCTGCACGCATCTGGGTTGCATTCCCTTGCCGAATGCTGGTGACTTTGGTGGATGGTTTTGTCCATGCCATGGTTCCCACTATGATATTTCGGGAAGGATCCGCAAGGGACCAGCACCATACAATTTGGAGGTACCCACTTATTCCTTCTTGGAGGAGAACAAGTTACTGATTGGTTGAAAACTGTCGTTTCTGGATGAGTTCTTTTTCATAAGTTAATCAGATAATGTCGAAGATTTGTTACAAACACTTTTGCTTTTACACTCTTTCCCCCTAGGTGGTGTTTAGAAATAGGGTTTTCATATTATGTAACTCTCGCTGGGTGGTGTTGCTATGGATTGTCAATAAGTTGCCTTGGCTTTGCTGAGCATCAACTGTACCAAAAGCGCCGAACTTTGCTCAACTGAGGATTCTGTTATTTATTTGGTCATTTATGCATCAAGAAAACTTTACTTATCTGTTGCGGCTTCTTATTGTTGTTACCAAATTGTGTTATGGTGCTCTCTGCCTCGATCATTAGATGCTGTGTTTGGATGAGGGATTGCAAAGTATCAAGGGATATGGGGGCTACTACGGTACTACGGAAGTAGTATGAATAGGTCAAATCGAATGATTGTATATACATATCTCAAAATCTTTCAAGGATGTAATACAAGAACAGCTTAATTTCCTAGTCTCCTCTATGACTCTGAGCAAAACATTGAATTTGACTAGAGATAGCGGTATTTCTTTATCTCTCGAATATGCCCTTAACATACACCATTCCTTTCTCACTCAGTAGAAGCTCCTTTCTCATTTGCTCTACTTGCTGATCATCCCCTTGAACGATGATCTCTGACTCTGCACTGTCGTCTTTGACCATCATTTTGACCTTGATCTGCTCCTTTCGCGATGCTCGCTTCCAGTAATATGCGCCCCTGTGTTCCATTTTGAAAACATCAGTACCTTTTTTGGTTTTGGAGCACACGTGCAATTTGACACAGAGAAGTGAAATGGAATTGAAGAGTGAGGTTGCAGGCAGTGCTTACGCCAATGGACTTAAGGCGGTGAGCAAAAACCAGTTATTGCCGAAATCAGGAACAGTTATGGTGAGAACAAGAGCTACACTTGCGAGGCTGATGCAGGTGCAAAAAGTAAGCAATGCGGCTTGGCCTCGACTTGGAACCATCATGCCTTCAAACCTTCATACCATTCGAAGGCAAGACATAAGTATATGAACAGATCTACGACTACATAGATGTTAGAAAAAACTTCTTGCCAATGGCAGGCAAACAATAAAAACCGTAGTGCAAACAAACACACATCAAATATGGAGATTTCAAGAAACATGCTATAGTTCATGGATAGCAAGTATGGTTGGTGACCTCGTCACTAATTCAATTTACATCGAACGAAGAAATTGACGTCAACTTTCAAATTGAGTACGTTGAATGTAGATAAGGTGGAGGTGGGGCTTACGTAATGGTCTCCCCTCTATCAGTGACCACAAAATTGTTGCGAGTGAAAAAGGATAAGATTTCACCAGCGACTTGGCTTGGTGCCTTCTTCTCTTCACCTATAAACGTCTTTTGAACTACCTGAAATTCCACATATACGTACATATTAACAACTATAAGGGAAATCGAGGAGGAGGGCATAATTAATCTATACAAGTAACAAGAGAAATTTGACCTTGGATTTAACAGAACGTTTGATGAGGGACCAAAGGCCAGGAACAGAGATGACGAAGAGACCCAGGGATGTGTAGTAACTGGCCAACGAATAACCCACGGCGCCTTCTGCAGCTCCAACCACAAACATGAGGGAGCTGCTGATGCTGCTGCTGGATGCGTTCAGTTGCTGCGGTGGTTCCAGTAAGAGTGGTACCAGATACGACGACGTACTAACAAGAGACTCGTGGAGGGAGCTCATCACCACCTCTCTCTTCTTGTTGGTTCCTAATGAACGCTGGCTCAGCCGCCATGGCTGCAGCTGCCTCTGCTCGTGGTGGGTTACGTGGAGTATTTTCAGAGAACGAGAACTAAGAGGGGTTGGATGTGGGTGCGGAGGGGATGATAGCACTTTCACTGCCATTGCTCGCTCGCTCGCTCGCTCCCTCCCTCCCTCAAGAAATAAGGGTAGAGACGGATGGAGAGAGATAAGGATTTGGTTTTTCTGTTTACTAGCAGAGGGAGGCCAGGCTCTTCCTGTCTGTGGTCCTGTGGAATGTGGAGGTCCAACTCCTAAAGTACAGGGTGAATTATATGTGAACGTGATAGACTGATAGCCGAGCCAAGCAAACTGCCGGCTCCCTACAAACGAAATGGACAATGGACGTGTTGCTTTTTGGGGCCTATTCCCTCGCAAATGGCCCAAATCCATTCACGATGAGGCAAGTAGGTACTGGTCATTTATTTATCTTATTTTAAGAAGAATAGTATTATTTAGACACAAAAATGAGTAATGTTACATTTATCAAAATTTTCATATTACATATGTATTATCTCTCTAATATAAGTAAGGCCCACTAATATTGGTGGGCTTCATCTCCATTAAAAAAGTAATATAAATGTGGTAACGATAGTATTTTTGTACAAAAATTGACATACTTTTCAGTACAAGTTACCTCACATGATAGTAGAGCCCGCCTTTATTAAAGAGTTGTCAAACAAATGTACCACTTCACTGTGTCCAAGTAGTTTTATTGTAGACCAAATGCAACTCGATAAGGTCTTTCATTGTGGTAAGTTTGAGTTTCTACATGTAAGATTAAAAACATCAAAGCAAAATCTCATATCTTTTAATATAATGATATATTTGTGGATGCAAATTTCCGCCGTCTTCTTATTTAATGAAAATGCACCTGCACAATAATAACATATAAGATTAAGACCAAAAGCCTCACGCGCCTATGATGAATGTGAGGCTTTTGCCGAAAAATCTCCAATGCCAAAGTTACAACAACAACAACAACAAAGCCTTTTCCCACTAAGTAGGGTCGGCTATATGAATCCTAGAACGCCATTGCGCTCGGTTTTGTGTCATGTCCTCCGTTAGATCCAAGTACTCAAGTCTTTTCTTAGGGTCTCTTCCAAAGTTTTCCTAGGTCTTCCTCTACCCCTTCAGCCCTGAACCTCTGTCCCGTAGTCACATTTTCGAACCGGAGCGTCAGTAAGCCTTCTTTGCACATGTCCAAACCACCGAAACCGATTTTCTCTCATATTTCCTTCAATTTTGGCCACTCCTACTTTACCTCGGATATCCTCATTCCTAATCTTATCCTTTCTCGTGTGCCCATACATCCCACGAAGCATCCTCATCTCCTCTACACCCATTTTGTGTACGTGTTGATGCTTCACCGCCCAACATTCTGTGCCATACAACATCGCTGGCCTTATTACCGTCCTATAAAATTTTCCCTTGAGCTTCAGTGGCTTACGACGGTCACACAACACGCCGGATGCACTCTTACACTTCATCCATCCAGCTTGTATTCTATGGTTGAGATCTCCATCTAATTCTCCGTTCTCTTGCAAGATAGATCCTAGGTAGCGAAAATGGTCACTTTTTGTGATCTTCGCTAGATTGCTCCGGTCATTAGTTGGATAAGTATATAAATGGATAGAGATAGGAAAGCAAACACAAGATGTACGTGGTTCACCTAGATTGACTACGTCCACGGAATAGAGGAGTTCTCATTAATTGTGAAGGGTTTACACAAGTACATAGGTTCAAGCTCTCCTTTAGTGAGTACAAGTGAATGATTTAGTACAAATGACATTAGGAAATATTGTGGGAGAATGATCTCGTAGCCATGAAACTTCTAAGTACCGGAGTGTGGTATCGTCTTGACTTGCCTTATCTGTCTCATAGGTAGATGTGGCATCTTCTCTGGAAGTACTCTTCCTCCATCCAGGGGTGGTATCTGTAACTGGTGGAAATGCACAAGGTAATGTATCAATTTCACTTGAAGCTTACTTGTAGTTTCATGCTTGGTCAAGCGCGATACAAACCATGTAGTAGGAGTCCCCCAAGTCGCCGAGCTAGGGGATCTGCTGAAAGAGGTGACAGACAAGGTAAGCAATCAGAGCTCCGGCTGATTGTTCACATTCTCCCTATCTTGCAGGCAGCATGAAGGATAAAGAGAAGAAAAATGAGAAGAGATGATATGGGATACTTTTGCTTTTAAAGAAGTAACTTTCCACAGGCTTATTCTTGAACTGGGCTGGAGGGTTTTCTGGTTTCCTCCAGAGTATAAGGTCGACTGAAGAATTTGAGGGTCAAAACAAGTCCATCAAATCTAGAGTACGTTCGACCCTGCTGATATGGGATACTTTTGCTTTTGATAGAGTAGTGGATGTATCGGCACGTGTGCTGTTACGCTTGTCTCCACATGCTTCATTGTATCCTTCTCACTTGCCCTATCTGTTCCTCAGGCATATGCGGTATCTTCCTTGGAAGCATAAGATGTTGAAGATGAGTACTCGAGAGCAATGCCAGGTAAGTAATCAGGTAAGGGGTTCCAGGCAGTCAATTCCTGGCTGGAAGCTTGATTCCAAGTGCTGACTGATTGCTCTCTTTCTCCTTGTATTGCAAGTAAGAACAAGGCCAAAGGAAAAGACAGGGAAAAAGCATGATATGGGATACTCTTGCTTTTAACCCTGATGATATGAGATATTCTTGCTCTAGTATAGCTTGTTTACAGAGGTATTATCGGGGGGAAAGAAAGCTGAATATTTCGAAAGGCTTCGTTGGGAGTGCCCTCTCAGATAAGAGAAAGGGTTGAGCATTTTTGCTGGTCTGCCTGTCCATTAGGGATGGAGGTCGACATATATAGGAGTCTCCCTAACATCAAGTAATAATGCTATTCATTTACCCTGCTTGGTCATAGCACGGTAGTGGGAGCTGCCAGCTTCACATGTTTTAACTCTGTCAGAGCACTTTGAAAAAGTGGTCTGTGGTATCTGGAAAGCTGATGTTGCGTGTGAAGATTACAGACAAGCTTTATCCAAGGAGATCCAGCTCTTGAAGTTGGGAAAGTGGTGCCTCTTCGGTTTTCGAACAAGCTATCCTGTCGGGGATCTGGCTCTCGAGATTCGGAGAACGATGCCTCTTCGATTTTTGAGAAAGTAATCCTGCTGGGGGTCTGGCTCTCGAGATTCGGAGAGCGGTGTCTCTTCGATTTTTGATAAAGTAATCATGTTGGGAGTCTGGCTCTCGAGATTCGGAGGGCGGTGCCTCTTCGATTTTGGAGCAAAGCAATCTTGTTGGGGAGTGTTTTCTCGAATGTGAGTAAAGGTTGGGCATGTTTGCTAGTCTACCTTGCCACGAAGCACAAAGGTTGACTCACATGGACTTTCCAATTATCCAGCAATGGTACTGTTCCTTTACCCTCTCTTCGATTTTTGAGAAAGTAATCATGTTGGGAGTCTGGCTCTCGAGATTCGGAGGGCGGTGCCTCTTCGATTTTGGAGCAAGCAATCTTGTTGGGAGTGTTTTCTCGAATGTGAGTAAAGGTTGGGCATGTTTGCTAGTCTACCTTGCCACGAAGCACAAAGGTTGACTCACAGGGACTTTCCAATTATCCAGCAGTGGTACTGTTCCTTTACCCTCTCTTCGATTTTTGAGAAAGTAATCATGCTGGGGGTCTGGCTCTCGAGATTCGGAGAGCGGTGTCTCTTCGATTTTTGAGAAAGTAATCATGTTGGGAGTCTGGCTCTCGAGATTCGGAGGGCGGTGCCTCTTCGATTTTGGAGCAAGCAATCTTGTTGGGAGTGTTTTCTCGAATGTGAGTAAAGGTTGGGCATGTTTGCTAGTCTACCTTACCACGAAGCACAGAGGTTGACACACAGGGACTTTCCAATTATCCAGCAGTGGTACTGTTCCTTTACCCTCTCTTCGATTTTTGAGAAAGTAATCATGTTGGGAGTCTGGCTCTCGAGATTCGAAGGGCGGTGCCTCTTCGATTTTGGAGCAAGCAATCTTGTTGGGAGTGTTTTCTCGAATGTGAGTAAAGGTTGGGCATGTTTGCTAGTCTACCTTGCCACGAAGCACAGAGGTTGACACACCGGGACATTCCAATTATCTAGCAGTGGTACTGTTCATTTACCCTTGTGGGTAATAATATGGAAGCTAGACCTTCAAAATTTATGTGTCTAAACTTTGTTAGTGTTGTTTCTTTGCAATTCTTTTACCCTTCTTGGTCAGAGCGATGTAGTGGGAGCTGCAAACTTCACGTGTCTCAACTTTGTCAGAGAACTTTGGCAAAGTTATCTGTGGTACCCATGAGCTACTGTTGCGTGTGGGAAGTGGGTGATTGAACAGTACGATTCATGTGCTTTCTATTTCGCCAGAAATCTTCGACAGAATGCCCATAATTTCCGCAAAGCTGAGTGTGCGTGTGACAGGTGCTGACAAGGCTGGAAAAGTATGTGCCTATTCGATTTCTGAGATCGGCCCTCGTGGTCTCTGAGCAGCTCATCTTTTGAGAAAGCAAGCCTCTTCGATTTCTGAGATCGGCCTTCGTGGTCTTTGAGCAGCCCAACTTTTGAGAAAGCAAAAGCCTCTTCGATTTCTAAGATCGACCCTCGTGGTCTCTGAGCAGCCCAGCTTTTGAGAAAGCAAACGCCTCTTCGATTTCTGAGCAGGCGCCTCTTCGATTTTTGAAGCTTCGTCGAGTGCAGATTTTTATAGGGGCTGACATTAAGTTCCAAAGCACACTTGAAGATCCACTAGTAGAAGCTCCATTCTTGCACTTCTAAGATCTTGATTTGTCCGACCTCTTCTCTCTTCAACACCTTTGAAAATGTCTGGCCCCTCCGACCGTCGTTTTGACTTGAACCTTGTTGAAGAGGCAGCCCCGCCTTCTCCAGACAACATATGGCGCCCATCTTTCGTCTCCCCTACTGGTCCTCTTACCGTTGGGGATTCCGTGATGAAGAATGATATGACCGCTGCGGTAGTGGCCAGAAACCTTCTCACTCCCAAAGATAACAGACTACTTTCCAAACGGTCTGATGAGTTGGCTGTTAAGGATTCTCTGGCTCTCAGTGTTCAGTGTACAGGTTCTGTGTCTAATATGGCCCAACGCCTATTTGCTCGAACCCGCCAAGTTGAATCATTGGCGGCTGAAGTGATGAGTCTCAAACAGGAGATTAGAGGGCTCAAGCATGAGAATAAACAGTTGCACCGGCTCGCACATGACTATGCTACAAACATGAAGAGGAAGCTTGACCAGATGAAGGAATCTGATGGTCAGGTTTTACTTGATCATCAGAGATTTGTGGGTTTGTTCCAAAGGCATTTATTGCCTTCGTCTTCTGGGGTTGTACCGCGTAATGAAGCTCCAAATGATCAACCTCTGAT